TAATATATTTATTCTTATCTAATATAACTTGCATTTGATTTATAGCTCGCTTTCAAAGGCAAACATAACATATAAGCGAAAGTCTAAACTAACAAATATTGAGGCATTCATGCGATGGCTTACGTCAAGTCATTCGATGATTAAAATAATATATTTGTATAATTGCAAAATGTATTAAATTATAGAGTAATCGTATTTTTTAAAGGAAATAAACTCCAAAAAACTCGATTCAAGGCATGCATTAAATATCTGATTTTACTGAATAACTCGTGTGAATACATTTTGTTCAACATTTACTGTAATAAATGTAACGTTTGGTCAATTGTTTGTGAAAATAGAAAATTTCCTAAGCTATTAAACATTTTTTAAATTCATCACAATTCATGGGTTTTTATTTGTTAATTGAATGCAAATTTTATAGATGAAAAGATCTCGTGTTTGACTTGAAGTCAAAGAAATTCGTTTTGACATTCATTTCAACTTTTAAACGAAGAGCACAACAAAAATCCTATTTTTAAACATTGAATTTCATACAAAACTGGTGAAGACATTGAACTTAAATATAGCTTTAATTGTAAGAGAGGATAGTCTTTGATCTAAAATATTAATAGCTTTGTGTATAATCGGAGGCATTGATTAGTTGTTGGGGCAGTACGCGCACTCAGTTTTTGGGCCAAAAACATATAAATTATTTATTAAAGTATTTATTCGTGTAATTTATAAACTATTAAATGATATATCGCATCATATTTCATAAAATTTTCGGTACAGAAATAAAGTAAGAATTTGTGCTAAAAAATTGTAATTTATCATTTAATTAAATGGTAAACATCAAGATTAGTGACTTTGCATTTACAGGAATATAATCATTAAATAATAATTATACTTAATAAAGAATATATAAATAAATATTGTACTGTATTTATTATAAAGTGTTTAGCAATAAAACAGTGTTTGAATCACACATTCACTAATATACTGACAAAAAGGGTATTTGAATGAAATTCATATAAAACAATGAGAAGACTGTGGACTGACTGACAATAACTCGAAAACCTTGGACTTATCTATTATGTTATTTTATATTATCATATGCTATGAAATCAAAGTGCTTGCAAATACTATTCAATTATAGCTACAAAACATTCATTCATTAGTATTAAGAAAATGATTGCTAATAATTAAACTCCAGACAGTGATTTGATACAAAATATTAACTTATTTTCAACGCACAGGTATTTTCAGTACTTTCGTAAGACTTTCATAAAACATTTTCCAATGTATTGTTATTTAGTTTTAAATTATATATGATTTAAAGATGTTTTCGAAAAAGTGTTGTTTTCCTGAAAACTGATTAATTGAGAAAATAATATAAATGCAAAAGTGATAATTCAAAACTAATTTAAAACTGATAATTCAGTTGAAGGACAAAATGCTATAAAGTTTAAACAAATCAATTACTAAATGCCACTCAATTGTTGACAACATTTGGTATTTGAATCTGGAAGTAAATCGTTTAGATTGATTCATTAAATATGCAACACTCGTTTCATTTCAATTTGATTCATAACTATTCTAGCATGTATTTATTTTACTTATACAAAAGTTTAAAAAATTAAAATTAAGAAAACTTTCTTATAGCCGAAAAAGTGCTAAAATTAATACTAAATTCACTTATTATTAGAAGGGAATTACAATAAAAGACATATAACTCTTGTTTATCAGATAAATAAAGCTGTTTTTGGCAGAAAAGTTGGAAAAAAGTATAAAACAAAATATAAAATTAATTTATTACACGACGAGAATAGTTAGCAAAACATAGAAATACTTCAAAGTTTTGACTTATTTGACAACAAAGAGTTGGTGTTTGTTATTACATATGAGATCATTGACCACAATATTAATCGATTCACTCGTTTTAATTAATGTGAAAGAAGTGAACGAATAGTGACTTTTAATATGAGTTTTAATTTTTTGCTTTCCGTTAATATATTGAGATTTGTATCGTTTATTTATTTTTAGCATTAATAACGGATTGTTCGCAAGAATCCAATGGTTTGAAAACACTTTTATAGTAACATAAGAAAGCAATTCTATAAGAAATTCATAACAAATGCACACAATTTGCACACAAATTCAAGGCTATTATTGACATAAAGAATCGCTTTTGTGAATCCATATAATAAACTCATTATATGTTAAATATTTTCAGTTCATTTCAATTACTTTCAATACAACAAACTAAACATGATTTGCGAAATTGACAAAAACCACAATCAAATGAAAATAATCCCACGAATTGAGTCTAAAATGTGTATTTATTTCTGAGATGTGTTTCACAAAAGAGATGCAAAACATATGATAACAAAGAGAGGAGTGGATGGAGAAGAGAGAGAGAGAGAGAGAGAGAGAAAGACTCACCAAATCATCCAAACTCTGGTCGCTCTCCAATTCAATCAAATCAGTGGATCCGTCGATAAGGACGGGTCCGCCGCCACGGATGGGGTAATGACTGGAATCACAAGAAGTGCTTTGTTTGGCCATAAGATGTGATCAATGGCTCAATAATACAAACAAACGGAGCGATGGATACATGAAGTGATGCAGAGATGCTATGCTATGTGTGACTGGAGTTGCGCTCACAGAGAGACTGTGTGTTTGGTATGACTGGTATTACTTCACTGTTTTCTCGGTCGGAGATGTGGTATGTGTTGTGTATGTGATTGGCTGAGAGGCTGTTGTCAAGGCTTGTCTACAATCGACTCATTCACTTGCATTGCAATCGCATCCACCGCTCATATTGTGTGGCATTTGCTGGAACTTGTCTCTCATATCAATGACAATCGCTGCTAATAATGGCTTAATTCTCAACTTTATTTCACATCAATTATTAATCAAAACAAATAATTGACTCCAAAAATATTTATTCCTATATAAAGTGATATCTCATCGATAATGCAAAAAAAGTTATGTTTATTTTAAGCAAATTCTAGGCAAACATTACATATTCATAGCACGGAATCATTATTAAGAACTAGTCTTTCATTTCATTGCGAAAAGTTATGCAAATTTTTGTAATTAAAACTTTTGAGTAAAATAATGTTTTTAATAGTATTTGCATTTGAACGCAACTATTGATTCAACACTTTTATAGCCTCATAAAAGTGTTGATATTTTTTTCGAGTAAAAAGCGTTCATTAGATTCAGAAACAAGTAAATTGCTGACACTATTGACTCAAACAAACATTAATACCCCTTATGTTTGGTCTCAAATTTTTTCTTTCAGATAATAAATACGAAACTGTTTGCAGAATATTATACTTTATGTTTAAGGAAGTCGTCTAAAAGTAAGGCCTTTAAATAGAAAGTATGGCTCATATAAAGCCTTCAACACTTCCTCGCAATTGCCAAAAATGTTATCAATTTTTCTCAAAAACTTAAAGCATTTTTATATGTTTAAGGAAGTCGTCTAAAAGTAAGGCCTTTAAATAGAAAGTATGGCTCATATAAAGCCTTCAACACTTCCTCGCAATTGCCAAAAATGTTATCAATTTTTCTCAAAAACTTAAAGCATTTTTATTTACACAGAAAAGTCTTATAAAAAATTACAACAAATCCAAAATATTATTGATTCACATAAAAAGTATGACACAAATTGTAGCCAATATTTGGTTGAGAGAAAAAGGATTAACAATCAATGAAAATATATATGGAATTCTTGTAAACATATAACGATTCTTAAGAAAATCCATTTCATTAGTAAAGCAATAATTGATTGGAAATATTATCAAAAAATATTATAAAAATATATTCCAATAAAAAATTAGAAAGATGAAGAGATTCCCATTATTTCTTAGAGTAATCGTAGAAACCTTTTCCCGATTTTTTGCCCAAATTTCCCTTCGCGACCATACTTTCAATGAGTTTGGACTTATATATTGTGAGATTGGGGTCACCCCTCGCAGACCAGGCGTCAACTATAAACTTATTGGTGTCGAGTCCGACATAATCTAAGCGAATATTCATTCATTAATCACACCATTAGTTCAGATGAAATCAATTAAAATATTAAAAGCAATTTATAAGAGACTTACCCATCAGTTCAAAAGGACCTAAGAATCGTGAAAATAAAAGTTAAATTAATAAAGTTTTGAGTAAAGCATTCAATGTGTTTACCCATAGGATATCCGGCGCCCAATTTCAT